GTTGCCTAGTGTGTATGGAGCACGGCAACTGGATTAGAATTGCGTTGCCTAGTGTGTATGGAGCACGGCAACTGGATTAGAATTGCGTTGCCTAGTGTGTATGGAGTACGGTAACTGGATTAGAATTGCGTTGCCTAGTGTGTATGGAGTACGGTAACTGCGTTAGAATTGCGTTGGCTAGTATGCATTGAGTTGCGGTAACTGCGTTAGAATTGCGTTGGCTAGTATGCATTGAGTTGCGGTAACTAGATTAGGAGTGCATTGGCTAGTAAAGTGTTACATTTTTGTCATAAGACTTGTTTAATCCGAACTTTTACCGTACGTGCCCACAAGCATTTGTGGTGAAAATTGGTAATATAAGTATTTATTATCAAAGAACAGCTTGCGATTACTTATCTGTTCAGTTAAAAACATTTTAATCGGACAAACTGCTATGAATCTGTCGCAAGTTCAGAAATATCCATTAATGCAAACATGTCATTTCCTTGTCTCTTTTGAAAATCCAGTTTAGTATTTAGATTCATTGCACATGACTTATCTGTATTATAAAGTAGCTTGTGTCTGTATGTCTGTGGCGAAATATTTTTTAACTTCTCGACCTCTAATCACCAATAAACTTTCAGGGGTTTATGCCCCAAAGAGATTCTAAAAACCCTTTACTTTATTAAATTTATTTTTTTTACGAGATTGACAGCCAATTATATTTTGTTCCATGCTGCTGCTTCAGTGCCTGTTTCTCTAACTCTGATCGTCATGAATCTTTCAGGGGTTTTGGGGGATTGCCTGGATTTCCAGGGTACTTAGAAGCACTAATATGAAGAAGCTAACTAGTTGAGGTGATTTTATTTTTTTCGAAATTTTATGCGAGTAAATAGTACACCTCTATGGCAAATGACGAACACGGATACACCGTCCCACCATCCCCGTGAAGCGAACGAAATATTCTGATTGGTGCCAAAATATTAAAATATTCAGGAACTTGCCCTTTTGACCTGAAGATAGATGCACTTAATGATCATTTGGAACTGTTCTACGGTGGCTCAGCATTATAGCTTAATGACTTATATGACGCTAAGATTCGGGGTCCAATACCAGCGGTAGGTACAGCATAGATATCTCATTGTGCAGCCCTGTCCTTAAACAAAGAAATCGTTGGCGCTGTGAAGTTTTGTGTCATTAGTGTGACAAAGAAGACACATTTTTGAAATGCATCGTTTAGTTCTTTAAATATTTATATTGTTTAAAAAAAAATGTTCGTAGAGTATATGCAGTTTGTTCCCCCCCTTTTTTCCCTTCATAATATTAGCTACTAGAATTGCCATTCGTACATATATATTATCACTCCGTTTCATCTCTTAACACATTTGTATGATTCCAGGATCCACATCCTTTTACCGACGATGACCTTGAGTGCTTGGACACTATTCTGTCTGCTACAAATCTTGGTAAGTTAACCATGACTACTAAGTGTCTTGTAATGAAAGTTCGGGGGGGGGGGATATCTCATTATTTCCGTTTCTTTTTTGTTGTTGACAAAATTAAATAATAAATAAGATGGGCACCAGACCAGTTGTATATTATTTTATCTGTTATTATATGGACTCTTACGTTTTGAGACTATAAAGAAATTTATAGTATTTTATGTTCGACTGTTGTTTGTCGCGATATTAGTTGTAACTGTGATATTATAAATTTCTTTACATGCATTTCTCACCTTTTCTGTGAACCTTTACATGTAATATCTATATAGTTTGGTATGTTTTACTAGGAAATCAAAAGTATTGTCAAAACACTAATACATCTCATCAACAATGACTGCTAAAAATATAAGAGAACCGGAAAATATTAATACAACAAATTCAAAAAAAGGCATTTTGTCTCGTGCATTACGATATGATGCCACGTAATTGTAATACGCAGAGGACTGATGCATTTTTTTTTTTCATATCCTGTTAGGAACATTAACGGCCTCTAAGTATATGTGTGTGTGGAAACTTTCAGGAGACGTTTAATACTGATGTCACAAATAAGACGAACCAAATGAATGTTCCATTAGTTTTTATTGGTTGCAAATTTTCTCATTAAAATCACCTCCTGTTGGCAGAAGAGTTTTTGGATAGATAATAAAGTACCACAAACATGTAAGATTACTTACAATCAAATAAAAAGTTAAAACAACTTAAAATTCAAACATTAAATTTAGGAGCTAATATAATTAGTTTGTAAGGTCGTTGACCAGATGTATTTCTTAGCCACGTTTTCACGTTGTTTTTTCTGTCCAGTTTATTGAAATACTGTCGATTTCCTGGTAACTAATTAATTCGATGTACCTTTTTAGTTTTTGATTGGAGAATTATAGAATAAGATTTTTTTTAATATGATTTCATGATTACGCAAAACGGATATTTTGATAACACGCAAATATTTTACACTTTTATTGTTACTTAGCAGGTCAAAAGTTGAAGTATTTAGTTTTGAAGTTTTTAAAAAAAAAACTCTGCAGTTTTAAAATACAAAATGTGTTCTCTGTAGCTGAATTTCCTACGGTTATATAGCTATAAGACAGGCTGGTTTATGACTTTCAAGTGTTGACTAGTTGCGAAAGTCAAGTGTTTTAATATATCATAAGCTACAAGTTTTTCCTGTAATCTATATAAATGTTAATCGATACTTTTTTTTGTCGTCTATTTGTACTGAACTGTATTTGTCTGTCCATCCATCCATTAGATCAAATATGATTAACAAAAACTTGATCGACAGATTAAACAAACCAAGAGTTTTAAGGTGTATGAGATTGTACTTGTGTAACAAATACAAAATAACTGTAGCATCACCAAAATATAACGTACTCCAAGGAAAGGTTCCGAGATCAAAAGACGTTTGAAACCATAATTTTCTATGTAATTTAGACAATTATTTTCATTGCTTGTGAAACTAACTAGGACTAAAAATGTACGGTAGGACCTTGTTTTATGTATGTAGATATTAAAGAATTTCTCCTTCTTTTTAAGTGATAGAAAAAAAAACAAAATCCAGATACATTCGATTGGGTACACATAGAAAAAATACAAACTATATTTATATTAAGTGTTTCACTAGACTAACAGTTAGTGCACGTAAAGTTTTGGATATGTAACAAATACCTTGTAGGTAAATTGAAAATTATTCAGTGTAACTGATGGGGAAACGCTTCATTGTGGCACTGGCGATCTGAAAAAACAACAACAACATATCTATCAGAATGGTCGGTCATGCAAACCAGTAACTCTAGTCCTTATCTGCTGAGAAGGACCTTTTCCACTCTGCTATCATGTTTCTTGCTTTATACATTTAATGTCTCCGACAAGAGTCAAGAACATTGAAAAGAATGGTTTTCCATGCAATGGAGCGCTTGACAGCTTATTTTTATTTTCCTGCTATTCATTTGTAGAATTATCGATATGTAAGGATTAGTGCCTGGAGATTATGTATGTACCAGAACGTGACCGCCCCCAGCATTTCCACTTCATTATTATCCAGCTAAATTTTCCAATTTTTTTTAAACTTAAGCAAAACCGGAAGGCTTGAACCTGTAATTGAAAGTTGGAGTTCTGAAGATTTATTAAATATTTGTGTTGTTGTTTTTTTTTTTTAGAAGTGGCCCTGCTTAACACATCTTTATAATAAATATTGTGGTTGATAGGCCCGTGCAGCCTTCAATTTGTAATGTGCTCCAGCAATTACGAAATTTTGAAACGTACGTTTATGTTTTAGGGAGTTTCATTTTGTGCTAAAAATCGCCTTCAAGGCACTGTAATATATATATTTTAGACATTTAGCTATAAAATCAAATCGTATGTATTTGATGATGTACTGTTGGTCAACCAGATAAGTGCATAGGGTGAGGGAGGGGGGTTCTGCCCAACCTCGCTTTCCATCAGCAGTGCCCAAACGGAGGCGTGAGCGATATCGCTCGGCTGAGAAACATGGCGATCCCGCGAGGCAAGCTGTCTAATCTCGAGCTCGCTGAAGGGATGCTAGCCACTATATAGGAGGCGGAGCCCGCTGCTTTTCACCTAGTCCATGGTCGTAAATACGTGTCCTTTGTGTACCGTCGATCTCCGGCGGCTGCGGCAAGTAGGCCGCATTCCTCTGCCTTTGTAAGCATGGGGCCTGGCATTCCGAGCTACAGTGCCTCCGGCTTTGCAACCGGCCGCACACGTCAGCTGTATTGGGAGAGGGTGCGGAGGAGAAAATAATCATTACAGAGGGCTGTGTTACCCCTGCGGACACGGCTGTATCATGACTCTAGCTCTGCTTTTGGATTCACTGGAAGCTTAGAAAAAGTTTCCCAGTTTCTTCTCATATAAAGAAACAACGGACTCTTCCCCCCTTTTTTTAAAAAAAAACAGGATTAAAGTTGAAAGAATTGAAACTTGAAAAGCGAGTTTGGTTCTCTGTGTAGTAACCACAGTGTATCAGATGGCCATATGAGTGTACATCAGAAACTTAACAATGGACACGGGCCATCCACGTGGGGGGCTCGGTCGACTTGTCACTGACCCTGCCCCCTGCGCGTGCCTCGCCGCGCGCGTGTAGTAGTTGGTGTTGAGGCCCGATTGCGAGCCAAAACGTGGAATGTGGGAGTTAGTAAGTCGGTTCGGCGACCCACTGTCTAGATCGTTCAGGTTTAGCCTATATCTTCAGTGTAGGAGCATATTGCTATACGGTTTGATAGTGGTGACACTTGCTCAATAGATTGTGCCTGAAGCTTGTTTTATCAACCATGTGACACGTGCTCTCTATGAACTTTTACTCACCGCTCTTCCCGATAAGGTTGAATTGGTTGTTTTGGTAAGTACAAACCATATCTAAACCAACTCAAGCTTTGTAAATCTCGAAGGACCAGCAAACACATGTATTATCGTTATTGTGCCAACATTTTGTTTAATTTTATTTTCTTAGCAGGTTATTCAAAGTATTCAGAGAGAGAGAGAGAGAGAGAGGGAAATTTAATAAAAGTAAATAATTTTCTCTTCCTGTTTGTATAGTTACCTGGGATAATAACCTCGTTTCAGCATGTTTTCCTGGTGTTTGGGAAGTGTCTTTCGCAAGAACCAATTCAGTTTTGTTAAACTTGCAGCTATATTAGTTTCAAGGAAAGAACATGAACGTCTGTTGTGTATGCAATGAATTTTTTTTTTTTCGTTTGCAAAATTTGTGAGCCAGGCGTTGAATAGTGATAAGTGTGGCCGAATTGTGAATCCGAGGATTCATGTTTCGCGTTCCGTTGCCGTAAAGCCGCTTTCCGAAATTTGAGGTCTTGGATGTGCTACAAGAATGACATTCAAATCACACTATTTGTTTAGATAAGGGTAACCTAAGAGTTGGCGGTGGGTGTTATTGACTAGCTGCCCTCTCTTTAGTTTGCCAGTACAAAAATAGGAACGGACTTTACGTAGCTTTGCGCGAAAATCTTAAAACAAGCAATATAAACGTTTTTTAAAACTTATTTTAAATGCTGATAAACATTATAGTAGTACCATAGGTAAGCTTCAAGCGAAGGTCACCATTCCCACTCTTGGGTCGCTTTTAAATACCACTATCATGAATCAGAAGGAATCATTCTAACTGTAGAAAAACCTTGAAATATACAGTTTTTTTTTTATACAAAAGATGTCAAATTTCTTTGTGTGTTCATAAATATGACCACGTGAAGTGTAAACTTTTGTATATTTTAGTTCATTTGTAAGACCTTTAGAGAATTGCACGTGCATTGCGTGCAACTTCTGCAAACTTGCATTATATCAACAATATAAAACACGCAATAAACTAGGTTCTTGTTCACTCGAAGAACTAAATAGTCCAATAATTGGCGATGGGTGCTGTTGACTAGTAAACTTTCACTTAGTAAATTAGTTAATATTTAGGGCTAGCCCTTAATGTATATAGCTTTGCGAGAAAATTTTAAACAAACAGACATAAGATATTTATTATTTTTTCCGTGAATATTAAAACTATTTACAAGTGTGAATGGGTGTGGTTATCACACATAAAATTGTTACTCGGAGATTCCAGGCTTTTTCTCCGAGTACAAATTATAGACAATTAACAGCCTGTGCCTACAATTTACATACAGAACTTCGTGTATTATTCAGTGTAAAGAGAAAGGAACGTGTGTGTGTACCTAAAAAGAAAAAAAAAAAACAATTAGGGCACACTACATTATGACCCACCCTATGATTTCTGCCCTGGTGTTGGATGTTTGTTTTTTGGTAGCATTTTTATTTTTCAAGTATATTTTTTTCTTTTCTTCATTTATTTTCCTTCTAAAAAAACCAAAAAGCTTATATTTATATAACACTATTCATCGATTTACTTATTACAAGATTTAATTTAAAGTGTATTGAATACGTACACGCACGCACTCGCGCGCACACAAACATGTTACATGCTTCGAAGCCCG